GCAGCCCCTTATCTGCTCTAAGGGCAGATGAGGAGGTGTCTGTGAGCAGGTTACCCACCATCTGTGGTCTAGTGAACCACGTTCTGCTTACGGTGGAATCGAAGCATTATGCAAATCTGAATGTGTTCCTTGGAGACTTGTGGGCAGGGCAGGTGATGGAACGGTCCTTCCAGTCAGGCGTCATCCCAACTGACTGGAAAGTGGGACTTGTAGTCCCTAGCTGTAAAGCGAAGGGAGATCGCCTAGATTGTGGCAACTACAGGAAGATAACATTGCTTTCAGTGCCGGGTAAGGTCCTTGTAGGGTCATCTTTATCAGGATCTGTGATCACTTGCTTGCCTGTCAGCGACTGGAGCAGTCTGCTTTTACGCCTAAGAAGTCTACCATCGACCATATCCTGGCACTGAGGGTTGTCACTGAGCACAAGCGCGAATATCGGCGAAGGTTCTCTGCAGCCTTTGTCGTTTTTCGTAAAGGGTTTGACTCAGTTGATTGAGTTGCCCTGTGGGACATCCTGAGACTTTGCGGGATCCCACCCAAAGTAGCTGGACATCATGGCCGGTCTGTACACTGGTACTGGGAGTACTGTGCAGAGTGGAGGGAGAATCTCCGTGTTCTTCCAGTTGATTCTGGGGTTCTCTAAGGGTGTGTTCTTGCTCCTACTCTGTTCAATGCTAGTATGGACTGAGAGAAGAGCAGGGTCGTGGGGTCCAGTGGCTGTAGGGCATCCGTTGGTGAAGAAAGATTTACTGATCTTAACTTTGCCAACGACGTTATGATCTTAGCAGAGTCAATGGAGGCTCTGATCAGGGGCTCTCGAGAGACTGAGCAAGGAGTCTGAATGTCTGGGATTGCGGGTGTCCTGGATAAAGATTAAGATCCAGGCATTTAATGACATCTTAGGCACAGCCATCAGCAGTGTGTCTGTCTGCGGGGAGAATATCGACCTTGTTGAGAGATTTACCTCGGCAGCGACATTCATGTCTCTGGTGACTCTTCCTATGAAGTCAACAGACGGACTGGAAGAGCATGGGGGGTCATGAGATATGTAGGATCACACACACACATTCGACAGGCCTAGCCTGGTATAAGAGGTACTTGTTGGCCTAGGCACAAAAGGGGGGTTAGTGACAATCATAGTGTTTTCACAGAGTATCACCTATTTTACCCTTCTCACTTGAACGGATAAATATATATGTATAGCTACCCCAGCATACATGATGTCATGATTATCCCAGAGGAATCTTGAAAGTTAAATAATGTAACCAGGTACCTTAGTGTGTCTCCTAACTATAAGAGGTCTTTTCTTTCTTTCGCTAACAACCGCCCCCCCCCCCTTTTTTTTTTTACATTCCTCTGTTGGCCCTTGTGGCCCATTAGCACTTCTTTGTCCTCTACCACTCAGTGTTAAAAGACTGAATCAATGTGTATATTATCAATCCTGAAGAGCAGATCATTGGAATAAGTCACACCAACCAAAATATGTTGATTCCAGATGTGTAATTGAAATTGGTACTGCAACAAACTAACGGCCACGCCTATCTGAGGGTAAGATGGGCTGTTTGAATGTGAATATGCAATGTAGCGTCTGTACAACTTACCCAAAGTAGCAACATCTGTTGATGTGCAACACAAAACACCTATACTGTATATGGATGTGATTCATTAACATACATAATGTAAGAAATTGCTGATTAATTAATACAGATGGTATGAGGTGTGAAACTCGAGGCTGGTATGGCATGTTTGGTGTCAAACCGATCAGTGGTTACCATGAACATGTATCTATAAAACGTTACACCCGCTTAATGAAAATCATCAGTAAAGGGGAATCAGTCTAGTCGTAAATACCAAAAGGACTGATACAGACCCCCTTCCGAAAACCCGCCAAATGGATGGTCAGCCATTGGTTCAGGTGTCGGATTCTAAAGCTTCACAAGGAGAGAAAATCCAAGGGGCTCCACTCCAACAACCGCTCTAAACGCCACACCTTCCTGAGTGCCATTATCCCGTCAGCTCATCACCTCTGCAACCTACTGCCAAGTTGCCGAGTTTGGAGGAACCAACCATTCGGCATAACAATTAGTTAATTATCATCATTAAATAATAATAAAATTTTTATTAATTAATTTCAAAACATATTGGTGGAGATATAAAAATTTACCTGAGCTAATAATTCCTACACAATTTAATTAATTTCTCTACACATTGGTGTAGACATTAAAATTTACCCAGCTCATTTTCCCTACAGATCGCTGGATAGGAGTGTGTGGTGATATCTTTGTAAGAGGACGAAGGTCCAAGTCTTTAGAGTCCTGGTGCTCCTTGTCTTGCTGTATGACTGTGAGACATGGACGCTATCCAGTGAGCTGAGACGAAGACTGGACTCCTTCTGTCCTGTATCTCTTTGGAGAATCTTTGGGTACCGCTGGTTTGACTTTGTGTCGAATGAGCAGTTGCTTGAGGAGTCCTGAATGAGGCACATTACCTGCATTGTTAGGGAGCCTCAGTTACGGCACTACGGCCATGTGGCGCGTTTCCCTGAGGGTGATCCGGCTTGCAGGATCCTCATTGCTGAGGACCCGAGCGGCTGGACCAGGCCAAGGGGACGCCCACGTAACACCTGGCTCCAGCAGATGGATGGCCATTTCCAGAGGGTGGGACTGGACCATGCATCTGCCTGGGGGGGTCGCCGGCCAGGATCCCAAGGAGTTTCGCTGTGTGGTGGGTGTAGCAACGCGCTGCATTAGCACATGCTCCCCAAACTGACATGACCTGACCTGAACTGGTTCTGAAGAGATGAGATTTTATTTCTTTTCTGAAAGGGAAGCAGACTGCTTCATATACATTCCAGTCATTGTACTTTTCTTGGCTAGGTTCCATTCTTTTGCCTTATTTGTTCACTACAGGAACATTGGTGATTTAAACCATTTCCATAGATATTCCTTATTTATAAACACAGCTTGCCAAAGTATTATTACCCGAACCACCTGGCAAGTCTTGTATGTTTAATCCTTGATGGTCAGTTCCAAAAACTTCTTCTACAGTACCCAAGAAGGAAGGTGGTTTGGAAGAAGGCCCTTCATCAGCTGAGCTAAGCTCAGCAGCAGAAACAGCAAGCCGATTGCCGTCGTCTCCTGCCCCAGTCTTATGGCCAGCTCAGCATGTGTGGTTGTCCACAAAAAATGTATATGGCATGTGCCTCCGTTGCAAAATTGTAAAGCTAATTTCAATAATACCCCTAATATCTTTAGGTTAGGCCTTTTTTTGTTCATATTTAATTTTAATCAGTTTTAACACAAGTATTGCTTGGTACCAGAACTGTAAATTAACACAGCTAGACTGTTAATTTGCTTGTCTTCTAGCTTGTGTGGCCAATTTTTTCATTCAGATTGATAGTTTAATCTCAATGGAAATAAAACAGCTCATTACACCCACATTAAAATTCCGAATCATGATTCAAGATGTTAGAGAGCCTAGTCTTATGGCAACTATTTGGTAAACAAGGAAAGACAAGATAATTAATTCTTAATAAATGTTATTAACTTCAACGTCAAAATGTTAAGTTTTAGGAAAGGCTTACTGTTTTTTAGATCATTCTAATATGAATACATGTCAATAAAAATTTGATTGCTCATGTTTACATGTTTTGAATGGTGACCGTAACAAGATACTGACCCTTAGAAGGGAGCTCGGTTATTGTACGAGTTTGTATCACTGTGATATGGGCTGGCACGATGATGCGGACTCGTACAAAAACCTTACTGTCACACTGAAGGTTACAGTATCGTTAATGCGAATTGGCGGGACATCTGTTTGTATTTAAACTACTTGTTGTATTAAATTTTATGAAGGATTCTATGTCATCCATCGGTACATGCGTTTGATTGCTTAAGACGACATATATTTAATTAATTTATTTTTTCTGCCGATGTTTTCACATCAGCTTTTTATTACATGCACGTTATTGTACGGGTAGCATAATGTAATGAATCACTGTGATGCTTTCGACTACTGGGGAAAAGGCACCAAAGTCACTGTCGGTAAGTCCTCTCCGTCTCACCCCACTTTACTTATTCCTTTTTAAATATCTGTATTTTTCTTTATTTACTTAGTATAAATAAAGTTTCACTTGAGTGATTAGTTTTCCCCCGTTTACTTTGCTAGATATAAACCCAAACAAACTGTCGTTGTGGCTCTTTTAGTGTCTGTGGTCTACTGTGTAAAAACCTCATCAAACTTGCTCGATAGCCAATACATATAACGTTATAAATTCATATATCTTAAAATTAATCGGAAAATTGTGTCCGTAAACGGTCGAGCTTTGCTTCGACACTTCAGTAACATATTTTTAGGATGTATCAGTGCAAGCGCGTTTGAAATTGTTTTTTTTTAGCTTAAAACATAAACGCTGAGAAATTAACAAAAAATTATACTTTAGTTAAATTTAGTTAGTTAAATGAAAAACGGGAACTATATAGTAAGGTCGACTAAGGACATTGTACCTTGTGATTTATAATTAAATTTTATTAAATAACGTTTAAATTAGGGTAGACCGAGTTCAGTTGCAACACTTCTTACATTTTGCATTCTCACACTAAAATATCATATAAAAACATCCGTTTTTTTTACTTATTTGTTTCTTCCGTCTGTCTGATATTAAAATCAGGGTGAACAATCGTATATGTACCGTTTATTTTTTCCACAGTAAGTGTTTAAAGACCCGATGTAGAGATACTTCAGTTACGTTTGTCATCATGCATGGAACAGTTTACTGAAATAGTTGTAACGCCCATATGGTATAATCATAATGCAGGGTAAACAAACCCGTAATCTTAAGTGAATTCTTTGTGAATTCTTTTGCTATAAGTTGACGAATTCTTCATTGAAAATCAATCACAAAAATGTTTGATTGTAATATTCTTTATGGATATTATAGGTTTAGTGAAGGTTATGGTTATAGCCATCTATATATTTATCTAGACTTAACAAAACGTCTTGCAAAATAGTCTGTCTAAAATACAAAATAAATTAAATTAAATAAGATAAAACAATGTTCACGACAATGCGCGTTTAACAGAAATCATGTTTGTATTTTCCTGGATTTACCAGAGCTGAGTGTTTTCGCGGGACTTAGTTACTTCTAATGTATTTTCAGAGTGAGTACAGCTGCGACGCTGATTTACAACCTTCGCGGACCGCTTCGCACATTTGTCTGTATTTCCCAAAAACATTTTGCTGGTTTTCAAAACACATCTCCTTAAAGTATACAACTCGACAATTATAAAACACGTTTAACGACACTGTCATGTAAGATCAAAGATATATTTATAAGGAAAGCAGGGTCAAAAAAAAAGCCAGACTCAGTTTTTGCAGATATCTTTGGAGCTGTTGATCTAGTTTAATGTCCCCACACTTAGAAAGCCTGTTATCGCTCCTGCACGGATGTAATAACGCAAATGAGATATTCAGCGTGTTTCAACTGTGTTAAAACTGTATGAATGCTAAACTAATTTATGCGGAAAAATCACTTGAATATAATTTGCTCTAGATGACACAAAAGTCACCGAAAATGTGTGATTCCAATAGGAACTAAATAGGTGCTAAAATTATATACCAGCGGGTTTCTTCCAGCTATTAATATTTCATTCAGAGTATATAATGCATTGTGCCGATGTGTAGGCTAATGATCTTATGTTCTCTGTGCTTGTAAATAATAAAAGAAACAATAATTAGATTCGTTTTGATTCAATGTATTTTGTATGAGCTTTTAGTGCAGTTAGGATTAAAGTATTTTGAACGGTTAAAAACTGTTGTATAGCAGGTAATTTGAAAATGATCATTATACGCTCGTGATACTTGTATGCAAAGATCCCTGGTTTGTGCGTTATTGTTTCGAAAAATATTATAGCCTACCTACATTTTTTAAATCACAAATCATGTACATTTTTCTTATTAGCTGTTTTCATAGAATAAGAATGTTTACTTTTTGTTAACATTCAACAATAGTATCCAGGCAGTAGATGAAAAGTATCCCAGTTAATTAACAGACAATGTGGGATTTGAATATAAAAAAGGTAAAGGGAGATTGAAAATACTGGGGAACTATTTCTGTTGGAACCCATACATGAATAATATAATGGGTAATATGGTGTGTTTGTGATACTGAAAAATAAGAAATGTAACTTTAACAATCTTCCGTATGTATTATGTCTAATGCATCATAAATTTACATTTCCTCTGTTATCCTGGTAATACTGCACTCTCAAAGTTTCATCAAAAACGTAAACTGAGATTTGGAGAAAATATTTATTATGCTTCAGTTGCACATTTTGTATTTTTTTCCTCGGCATAATATAAATTTGACCATTCAATGGACAGCATGTTTTGCAAGAGGGAGAACACAGCAGGTTATAATATTTAGCTTTAGGTAGCTACTGCAGGGACATTGAAATAAAGTTAGACAGTTAATCATGTAACAAACATAAGATACATTTATATTTGAATTAGTAATCATTTTGACGGTAAAGCAGAAAATTATTTTTTTGTGTGGATTTTTTTGAATCACAACACAGAATGTACCAACAGTAGAGTTTACTGACTTACAAAAGCTAAGTTACACACCAGAAATGTCTTTCAGTGAAGCATAGTTTTTAGTACTGTAACATTTCAAAAATAACCATGATATGAAACATAATGAGATTTTTTTCTTTTATATCTGTTTCCATCAGGGCCTAAGGCTGCATGATATTGGAAAAATAAAAAATATTTTAGAAATGTCTTTGCAATAAATGTTGCAATATTTATAAAGCAAAAATGGAGTTGGAAACTTACCCAAAATGAACTATATAGCAAAATAGAACTTGTTTTTATCTACCAACAGAGTCTGTCAGATAAGTTAGTGATGTCGACACAAAACAGTGCTGACAAATCACTTGCTTCTGCTCAATATTGTCTCTAAAGAATCCAGAATATTTCCATTCAGTGGAAGGCAAATTTCTTTTGGTCATCAGTTCTGGTTCGCTTTTCTCCTCCTCATGTACTTTCTTAAATTTCTCATAAATTGTCCTCAATGCCTATGATTATGATGCATGCAGAGCTCATGCAAAAGCAGCGACAGTCAACATTACACTGATTTTTTTAAGAACATAAGAAATTTACAAATGAGAGGAGGCCATTCGGCCCGTCAACCTCGTTTGGGAAGAACTTAACTAACAGTTCAGAGTTGTTAAAATCTTATCTAGCTCTGATTTAAAGGAACCCAGAGTTTTAGCTTCCGCTACACTAGCAGGAAGAATTTTCCATACTCTAACTACATGCTGTGTACAGAAGTGCTCTCTCAAATCCATTTTAAAATGTTCTCTTTTTAACATATACTAGGTAATATTGAGAAGGAACAATCATTAAAATAGCAAAGCTTGCAAAAAATTTGTTTCCCATGGCAGAATAAAAATGTAAAGAAAAACTTACTAAAGATCTGAAGTAGGGTTGGATGGTATGATGGTATGAAAAATTAGTCATCAACCAAGCCAGCATTCAATATAAACATCCCACATCCTGCAGGCTCAGTTCCCAGTAACAGCTAACAATGTCTAATGACTGGTACATTTCTTTTCTTAGGTGCTAAGCCTCCATCTTACATTTACCCCCTTCACCAATGTGGGTCTGGAGACTCTCGTGGTGACATCAGCCTCGGATGCATTGCCAGCGGTTTTTCACCCCTGGATGCCTTGAGCTTTAAGTGGAATGACGGTAACGGTAACGCGCTGCGTGACTTACATCAATACTCACCGGTCATGGTCAGTGGAAGCACCATGATGGTCAGTCACATCACTGTCAAAGCGGCAGACTGGAACAGTAAGAAATCCTACAGGTGTGCTGCACATCACCAGACCCTTGGACCTGGGAAGTCAGAGACATTACAGAAGCCAGGTATTGTGATTTTGTACAAATTAAATTAATTCTTCTGCAGCACTTTGGGGATTTAGCTGATTTAGGTTAAGCAATCAAGGAAATGAAGAATTAAAAATTGTGAACCTTATATCTCAGGAAGCACAGAGCACATGGCAGGAGGCACCTAGGATGGGATGTCAGCACAGCACACATTTACACATTTACACATTTTCTCACACACTAAGGCCAAATTACAGACACTGTACCCCTTAAACCAGGAATGCGGAACCTGATCCAAGGAGGGCTGGTGTGGGTGCGGGATTTTGGGATGGCCTCTCAATCAGCCAATAACAGTGGGTCCCCTGGACTGGTGTTGAGAACTACTGCTTTATTATTGGCTGATTGAGAGGTCATCCCAAAAACCTGCACCGACACCGGGCCTCCATGGAACAGGTTCCCCACCGTTGCCTTAAACTCACATTTTCTCACTGTAGGAAAACCCTCACACACAGCGGGAATCGATCCCTGATGGTGTGAGACTGTGGTCACTGTAATAAATGCCGTAATATTGACTGAAAATTTCCCTGATAGATTTACAGCATCTTTATAAATGTTTTTTCCTATGTATTCTGCCAATAAAGTCCCTTCAGAATGTCGCTTTCATTATTTAAATATTCTGAGTGAAGCATTTGCGGGTAGTGAATGAGGGGTAGTCTGGCGGAATTTCTAAAACTAAAAAACTGAATCTTACCAGTGATTGGAGCCAGAAAATGGCCTCCCTGGGTCCTGTTAGTTATGAGTAGAAAACTGCATTGGGCCCCTATTCCTACTGCTCTTGTGTGTTCCTCCTCTCCCAGACCAGCCCTGCAGGCTCTATTTGGATGTGACCCTGAAGCCCCCAAGAGTAAGAGAGATGTTCATAGATAACAGGGCTGTGCTGGAATGCATCATCTCAGGAGAGGATAAGGCAGTAAGAGAAGCTGAAGTGACCTGGATGTTGGACAGTGTACAGGTGACAGATAAGATTACACAGATCGGTACAGAAAAGGCAGATCAGCTCTTCAGAAAGAGCAGCATCCTGACAACAAATAACTGGGAAGGTGGCAAAACAGTGAAGTGCAGTGTGCAACAGAAGGGTGGTCCAACTATCACAAAGACCCTCAGTTTTGGGCAAAAAGGTATATTTCACAATACACTTTCACAGTTAAAATCATAAGTAGAAATATTTTTATTTAAGATGAAGTTCAGTGATGAACTCACTGAGACGTTTTTAACAACTGATTTCAGGTACGACGAAACCTACAGTCTCCATCCAAACACCATCTCCTGAAGACCTTGATAGAAAAAGTGAATTCTTCCTGCTCTGCCTGGTAACAGGCTTCTATCCTGAGGAAATATATATCATGTGGCAAGTAAATGGGGGGAAGTATGAGGAGGGTATTACTGGAGAGCTATGGAAGACTGGGGATCAATACTCTGTCACCAGTCTGTTTAAGGTATCAAAAGTGGACTGGGACAACGGCAACATGTACAACTGCAGCGCCAGACACGCATCTGAAAAGGAAGCACAGATACCTTCTCATCCTGTCTCCAAATTAACAGGTAATTCAATGGAATGTCCT